TGTGTGTGTGTGTGTGTGTGTGTGTATCTCCAAGAATGGTCAGAAAGGCAAAGTCCTGCACTGAATGGCAGGAAACAGAAAGATTGTGAAGGACTGTGGAGTAATAAGTTGGCATGTTCTCTAAATAGGGCCACTCCAAAATCCAAAATCCCACAGCCAATAAGTCAATTCTGACTTGGACAGCTGCCCCACACATGGTTTCCAAGACTGTAAATCCTCATGGAGCAGCCAGCCCATCATTCTACTAACAGCAGTGGATGGGTCTGAGCCACTGACCTTGTGGTTCAGCAGCCCAGTGTCACCCCTCGGCACTGCCAAGGCTCCCGAATGGGGCAGTAGGAGGAGGGAGAAGAGGACAGTGTATCAGTTCCCTCAAGTCCTCCAGCAGAATGAGCCCTACACACTCTAACGATGCCCTGTGGACACACACCCGTCACACACGGCGCTGCTTACATGTTTGAAGGACCCGTAGGGAACCGCCGTCGACCCCGTGTCTTCTAGGTAGTCCTCCCAGCTTAGCTCCACTTCCTCCACGCCAGAGCCGGTCTCTGGAATTAAAGAGGAAACAGAATGAGAGCAGGGGAAGAAAAGCAACCAAAGAAAAGCCAAGGTACAAAGAACGGCGTCCTACAGGTCAACCGAACTCCCAGAACTTACCTCATGATTCGCTGATTGACTTTACAGGGGAGCGAGGGAAACACACAAAACAAAAAGCGTTCTTTTTAAATGACGGAATCCCTCCAGACGGTGGTTGTCAATAAGTCTCCACAGCAGCAGGAATGGAAAGCTGTCTCCAGGGAGGGTCCCACCTGGAAGCCCCCACGTGGATCACAGAAAGCAGCTCTCAGCGGTCCACATGGGCAACCATTCTACACAGCAACTGAGTGCCGAACGCCGTGTGCCTGAGACATCTGGGAGACTTATGTTTTCAACCTGGTCTGTGCTAGTATTACCCGAGTGAGTGAGGGGTACCAACCTCACATCTTACACCTTCAACCTGGTCTGTGCTAGTATTACCCGAGTGAGTGAGTGAGTGAGTGAGTGAGTGAGTGAGTGATACCACCCAGTCCACTTTTTGTCTCAATCAAAAAGAACATCTTCTCCTAGATTTCCTCCTTTCCCTTGATACCTGTTAGGTGAACTTCCCCAGGAACCTGGTCTTTGTCCTTGCTTCCCTCGGGAGGCAGCACCTACACCCTTGGCCTTTCTCCTGTGATTGCGTTCTCTTAGATGAGGCCTCTGATCCATGTGGGCTTCACCAGCTGTGCTGAGGAGGAGACTGAGGGAGGGGCTGTTCATGCCAGGTGGGCACAGGACAGGCGAGGGCAGGGTTGAAAACCGCCCTGCCGACACCACGAGGCCTCATGAAGGCGTTGGACACACACAGGCACTCCATGGGCTTGCTGGGTGCTCACAGGTATCGATGCCCACGGAGAGCAGGAAGTCCCTTCTTCTCCGGGACACAGAAGCTCCAATTAGAAGCCCTCCCAGGCTTTCTGGACCCTGGGTACCTCTTCTCTTCATTAATATTCTGTTTGCAATAATAAAACTACAACGGCCAGGTGTGCGAGTCCCGTGAGTCATTCCAGCAGATTACTGAACCTCAAAGACGGGCTTCGTAAATTTCCCAGTCTATGGCTGGTATCCTGAGGGGGTCCAGAAAAGCCCCGAGTTTGCAGCCGGGCAGTCAGAAGTGAAGGAGGCCAGAGGCCTCCTGAGCTGATGGCCGGCTCCTCTGTGGTTGGTGAGTAGCTCCTGAGTTTGCAGCCGGCAAGCCCAAAAGCGAGGGTCAAGTATCCAGCTGGTGTTTGAGTCTTCAGCTGGTGTTTGAGGTCTTCAGCTGGTGTTTGAGTCTTCAGCTGGTGTTTGAGTCTTCAGCTGGTGTTTGAGGTCTTCAGCTGGTGTTTGAGGTCTTCGGCACATTTGGCCGTCCAGATAGCTGTGCCCCTTCCTAAGGTCTGACCTCGCTCAGGGGTCCCTGGCGGTATGGCAGGCTAAGCACCGGCAGTTCAAGACGGGTCACGGCTCTGCGAGAACGCTGCAGCAGGCTGCAGCCTCCGAAACCCTGTGGGGAAGCTCTGGTCCACCCCAAGGGGTCTGGAAGAAAGGGGAAGGCAATGGGGCCAGGTGTGAAAGACTGGGGCTGTGGTTAGGGTCAGAAGAGGGGCTGCACGATGCCTGGGTGCGAGAATTGAACGGATGGGTTTTTCATTCACTTTCATTGGCCTGGGAGTGAAAGGGCTGTTGGATTTCCTAATAGTTGGTGTCAGAGTAGGATTTGACCCTTACAATACTTTACATCCGACCAAGAGAAAATTTGGTAGGCAGTACCTTTAAAACATCTCACTTCTCACCTTATTCATTGCTACACCTCGCTACTCCAAGGAGTAACCATAAAATTTTCACCTTCCCATCACACTTACAATTTAAAATCCTTGGAAATCTGCAAAGATCCTATAGGATTTTGCCCAATGGGCAGCCACCGCTCCACCTCATCCTCTGTGGCTCTCTACACTCGGGCGGACAGGGGCTGGGTGCCATCTCTACACTCGGGTGGACAGGGGCGGGCGGACAGGGGCTGGCCACTGTCTCTACACTCGGGCGGACAGGGGCTCGGCCGTTTGCCTCTCTTCTGAAAGCCCCTGCATTCTGCTGTTCCTTCACACCCCTCTCCCTGTGCAGCTGTCTCCTTCATTCCAGGCAAGTCTCTACTCAAAAGTCCTGGATCAGCACCCATCTAAAGGACAAGTTCCCGGGCCCTGATTCCACGTTCACCATAGCACCCATTTCCCCTGACTGCAGACCATGTCCACCTCCTCTCTCAGCAAACCAGGAGGTCCACATGTCACTCCTATGCTGTCACTTAGACCCTGAAGTCACTGGTATGCAGCTACAAGAACCCTAGGGCCCCATAAGCCAACAGCCCAGGGCACGTGAGCAGTCACCAGAGTGGGGATCGCTACTCAGAACAACGTCTGCCCCCCGCAAGTTCCCCCTCGACAGCCACTGGAGGCGGGGCCCTCGGGGAGCCCAGGCGCCACACAAAAAAGGGTTCATGACAGAACCCTTCTGATAATAGCAGACTGGACAGGAGCACTGGGAAGAGTGTAAGTGACCGTGACCCTCCGTCAAAATGAAAGGAACCAGCACCAACACAGATGAGCCTCCTTTAAAGAGTAAGAACAAGATGAAAACCACAGCAAGATACCACTCTTAGGGTTTCCAAAGGAGCTTTGCAGTAGTGGTGAGAGAAAGATAAGCACTGGCGAGGACACACACCCACTCCCGCGACGTCCTCTCTGGGAGTGGAGGGAGGGGCCTGGAACCCAGGGTCAGGAGGGCGTTGTCAAGAAGGCTTCAACCACAGGCGGCCAGTAGAACTACTGGAAACAAGCCAGCCCCAGGGAGGAACCTCTCTCTGACTTAGGTCTGACTTAAGGACAATTTCTGCTTGCTCACTGGGAAGCACCCTCAAGTAACCTCTAAGACCCCAAACCCACAGCCATCCACCCAGTTGATCCCAACTCACAGCAAACGGGGGTCCAGGAACCGTCCTCTTTATGGGAGCAAAGAGCCTCACCCTGCTCCCTGTGAGCGGATGGTGGGTCTGAACTGCTGACCTTCTGGTGAGCGCATGCCACCCACCCTGAACCCCCACTCCCAGTGACCTCTCCCTCACGATCACCTTCACCTTCTGCACCTGTAGCTTTAACTCATGGAGAAGGTTGACTGGGCGTGACGTCAAACCGAAACCCACCACCAGGGAGTCAGCTCCGGCTGACAGCGACCCAGAGGAGGTTCCCCAGGCTCTCAATCTGTGCGGGAGCAGAGTCTCGACTTTCCCATGCGGAGAGGTGGTTGACCAGCAAACCAGGAGCACAGACGCTTTTCCTGCACTAGCCTAACCCACCTCACTCCCTGCCATCCAGTCACCGCCGACCCACAGCGACCCTGCAGGGCAGGGCAGAGCTGCCCCTGTGAGTTTCTGAGACTGTCTCCCTGGGAGGGGCCGGTGGTTTCGAACTGCTGACCTCATGGTTAGCGGCACAATGTGTAACCACTTTAGTTCGAGGGGTCCTTTTCTTGTGCTTGTCCTGGCTCACCTATAAATTGCCCTTCACCTCTGGGAACAGGGCTCAGTCACAACCCAGGGACTGCATTAAAAATGGAAACAACCATCGATCCATATCAAAGTCTGTTAAGTCTTCTTCATGACATGGCCTCGTGGGCATTTGTCATACTGGTTCCCGCTTATGTTTAACGGATCTGAAACGTTTCCTCAGAAAGAGAAAACCAGCAGACTGCACAGAGCACCGAGGAGCACGGATGAGTGGAAACTCAATTTCATTACGAAAATAAGAAGGAGCTGGGCATCCGTGTGTGACTCCCAGCAGGCAGCACAGGAAGTCCTCCTTCGGGGTGCTGGAGTCCTTCTGCATCCCGATGGAGTGTGGGCATGGGAAGCTGTGCGTGATGGAAGGGCACACACGTCATCCCCATGTCGGTCCCAGTCTGGACAAGAGGCTGGGGGATGGGCTCAGTGCGGAGCCCTCCCTGCTGCACCTGTGCCACTTCCCGGGCCTCCGTAACTGTCCTTGAATAGCGAGAAAGTCATCGTCAAAACCACAATGTTCGTTTCCAAAGAGACGCCTGTCCGTCAGAAGTGACTTGGTTTGCTCAGCAGAGCTGTCAGTACTCTTAGTGCCCGACGGAAAGACAAGCCAGACGGCGCCGCGTGGGTGGACACCCAGTCCCATGCCCCAGGAGAGCCAGTACCTGCATCAAGCTGCTGCTCCCCGTTCATCTCCACAGGCTGCGGGGCCGAGGACAGGCCTTACGGTCCTGCTGGGATCTGGAGACTCCCTCCACGTCTCATGGGTCTGTGCAGAGGGTCCACACGGAGTGCTAAAAGAAGAAGAGGGAGTTTCAGGCACACAGTCATGAGACACAGCACTCCAGGAGGCTGCGAAGGCAGGTGAAAGCACTCATTGCCACCCGGCTCAAACGGGGGACAAAGGGTCTTCCTTGGGCCAAAACAAGAGCACGGCAGCAGAATGGACGGCATCTGAGGGCGGGAAAAGGACACCTTTCATGATTTTGTGGCCTGCGTGTGGGTATGTATGAAAGGCTTGACATTTTAAAAATCACAGCAAACGAATACAGTCTGTGTGGTTCTTTTAAACCTAGAGGATGATACGGCCCCCTCATTCCCACCCAAACAACCAGCTCCTGACAGTGCACGGGGCCGGGGCAGTGTCAGCTTTCAATGCTGTGTCTCAGCAAAGGGTTAGATTGGACATACTGTGTTCCTTTAACAAAATGCCAGGGAGTGACCACGGTCAAGGCAACCGCGAGGAACTACCGAAACCAGAATGAAGGCTGAACATGGTATTGGGACAGGAGGAAAGCGTAAAGAAATAGAGGAAAGAAGTAGGAGGCAAAGGGCATA